AAAAAAAAAAAAAAAAAAAAAAAAAAGAAAAGAAAAGAAAGCAGATTAAACCACAAACACATAGATAATCTTCTACCAGTGAAAAGCAATCACAGCTCACAATTCAAAAGTCAGGCAAATCAGGCAGAAATGTTATACAAATTTTGGTCAGAAACTAAGAGAACTGGGTCTTGGTCTTGGTTCTAACACTAACTTGTTTTAGAATCTGGGAAAAGCTATAGCTTCAGTTTCCCTATCTGAAACATTAGCACTGGCTATACTAATATCAGATAAAGCAGACTTCAACTCAATTTTGTCTGTTAAATATTGCTATACGAGACAAAGGACATAATGATAAAAGCATCAACTCGCCAAGAATATATAATTATAAATATATATGCACCAAACATTAGAGCTCCTAAATACAGGAAATGACCCCTGACAGAACTGAAGGTAGAAACACACAGCAACACAGTAATAGTAGGAGGTTTCAACACCACCATTTCAATGATGGATGGAACAACCAGACAGAAGATGAACAAGGAAACAGAGGACCTGAACAACGCTACGGACTACATGGACTTAACAAACACATACAGAATACTCCACTCAACAAACAGCAAAATATACATTCCTCTCAAGGGCACATGAAACATTCTCCAGGATAGATCACCTGTTAGGCCACAAAACAAGTTTCGACAAACTTAAGAAACACTGAGGTTAGTATACAAATTACCTCGTAAAATCACAGTGGAATAAAATCAGAAATCAATAGCAGAAGGAAAACTGAAAAATCCACAAATATACGGAAATTAAACAACATACTCTTGGCCAGGTGTAGTGGCTTACACCTGTAATCCCTGTACTTTGGGAGGCTGCGACAGATCAGGAGTTTGAGACCATCCTGGACTACAAAGTGAAACCCCGTCTCCAGCAAAAATACAAAAATTAGCCAGGCATGGTGGAGTGCAACTATAATCCCAGCTCCTCGGGAGGCTGAGGCACAAGTATCACTTGAACTTGGGAGGTGGAGGTTACAGTGAGCCAAGATCAAGCTACTGCACTCTAGCCTGGGTGACAGAGCAACACTCTGTCTCAAAAAATAAACAAACAAACAAACAAACAAACAAAAAAACGCATTCTTAGGCTAGGCGCGGTGGCTCAAGCCTGTACTCCCAACACTTTGGGAGGACGAGCGAGGCAGGCAGATCACGAGGTCAAGAGATCAAGACCATCCTGGCCAACACGGTGAAACCCCGCCTCTACTAAAAATACAAAAAAAATTAGCCAGGTGTGGTGGTGCATGTCTGAAGTCCCAGCTACTTGGGAGGCTGAGGCAGGAGAATTGCTTGAAACTAGAAAACAGAAGTTGCAGTGAGCTAGGATCGCGCCACTGCACTCCAGCCTGGTGATACAACAAGACTCTGTCTCAAAAAAAAAAAAAACAAAAACAACACAAAAAAAAAAATAAAAAAATATTCAAAGTGATATAAAAGTATTAAACCCAGAAAGAACCAATGGTGGGCATTTCATTTTCCTCTACACT